GAAGTGTTTTAATTCTGACCCTTATTATAAGTTCTACTAGATTTCTGCTTATCGTAAAGACGTGTATTATTATCAAGGCTATTCTTCACTTGATTGATGATCCCGGTCATGAGTCATTTATTGTTATTTTTCTAATAGGGAAGCATTTAGAATCAAATCAATTATTACCCCTTTATTTTGTGTCTACCAGAAAAGTCAAGAACATTTATTTCGCCCTTGTTTGGACTTCTCAGATGGATGTATCTACCTTCACAATGTAAGGTAGAGTTTCCATTGAGACTTGAACGTCGGAATCAGCCGTTTCGAATGCCAAAGAGTTATCCCCAAAGTCAGGGGGGGGCAAAAAAAATCCTTTTCAGTTATCTGTACTTGTTCTTCAGATTCTGCGGTTGTACGTTTATATTATTTAGGAAAAAGCCGGTTTAATTGATTGAAGATATGTCTATTATGCCTTTCAGAAGGCTGATTAGTCATCAATAAACATTTCCTTCGATAACTTCTACACAGTTACATATACGAAACATCTGTTATTAATAACATTAATGTTTTTTAAGTAATATAGAACTCAGAGAAGCCTTTGAGGTGAAGACAGAAGACAAAACTGCTTGCCTGCCAATTATCAGAGATGATATCCCTGATTTCGGTGGACTGAATTATGCGAGAGACTGTAGGGGGCGACAAGATGAAACCGATAAGAAGACTACAGAAGATCTGGATTTCCTGCATGGATAATTTATGTCTAATGTCACATAAACTGGAGTACTTACAGGCGAAAACCAGCCAGCTGGTTGAAGAGACAGGCATCAAAGATAGGATTTCAGGTGTGGATACACAGAGAAGACAAACATGATGAAGATGACCAACCAACCAACTAACAACAAAAAGTACCGATTAATATCAAAGGGTTAAATTTGAAAGAGGTCACTTCCTCCATTTATCTAGTCAGCATTATTTCAAATGCAGAAAGCACAGATTAGGATTTCAGAACCACAATCAGAAAAGCAAGGCAGACTGTAACTACTGTGAAATCAGTTTCGAAATCTTCTGCAGTCAGCATAAGTGATTCGGTTCTTCTATATACGTTAGAAACATGGTGCACACATCACGAAAAGCATATCGAACAGGCTATGGCAGACTTCTATCTACAGCTGCCCACTTCATTCACTCCCTGCTGAAAATCAAATGCACTGTTAGAAAGAATTAACACCAACAAGAAAATCAGGGAATGAACCAATCAGGAACCTATTGTTCAACAAATATGCAGAAGATGGATCGGACATACGCCGAGGAGACCGTTGGGTAACATTACTCTCTTGGCCGATGCTCCAGTTGAACCCGGATGCGAAACTACTAGTTGGGCGTCCGTAGGTGATTTGAAGAAGATTCTGTGAAGAAGAGATTAGAAACTATAGCCAGTCATAGAACCATATAAGGAGGACTTCTAAGAACAGGACAAATTGGAGAAGTGCTATTGATTTCTTAGTGTTGAGTAACTAGGACCAGTATAATTAAAATTCTAAACAAAACATGAAGTCTTTGACAGTCGGTTTGAGCCACGTAGGGATTTGTAGACTGTTTGGCTAAGGTGTCTGACACTTGACGAACCAAGTTTGTGAATGTTATGCATTCTTTCTTTGTAATCTTCAAGACCTACTAAATCTTCAGGTTTCTTCCTGCAGGTATTCTTAATCCTGTAAGTTTCTCTTCATTTGAGTTCTTTTGAATTCTCTACCTTTGTGGTCTATGTGTTGTGTGACAACTTGGACTTGTGCACTTGTTTTGTAAAGTCCTACATTGACTTGGAGGAGGTCATGCGAGGAGGAGATGAAAGCATATGGACAGACCTGGAGCAGGGTGAAAAAGTTGTCAGAAAACCGAAGTCAATGGAGGTGCGCAGCTGAAGCCCTATGTTCCTCTAGGAACTAAAGGATACAATAATAATAAATACATTGAAAACTCAGCCAGTCCTACCGTTGTATATTTAGCTGGGGTATATACTCTACTATTTTTGAATTTAATCCAATCTAATCCAATTTTCTAACGTTTGTGTTGTTCAGCAGGATATTCTGCTGAGTTGATTTCAAGACTTGATTTAGTTTTTGTTCTCTGAGCTGATCGATTTAATTGTGAAGCTTTCGTCGTCCTTTTAAGTCAACATCAATTCAGCTCAGGCTTTAATCTAAAGTGAACTTGTTTGAATTCTCCGTGAATGATAAAATTTACAAAAAAAAAATAACACTGAACAAAGAATACTCTTTCGATAACCGCTTCATCATCAAGCTCTACAGTTACGTAAACATTATAGTGAATGAATGAATGAATTAGTGTTATGAACAACATTAATGTTGCTGTTTAAATAACATCGAATCAGTAATACTGATAGATTACAGCTAAATAGCATCAACATAAAATAAGCTGAATGTCAGAAAATAATTAGGAAAGATAATATTGCAAATTCAAGTCTCTACTGAAGGCCAGGGCAGTAGTAGGAGCTGGACTTGCTCCTTTTGAACACAGACCACTGGTTGTTTGAGACGAATTGCAATAGCCTCTGATGTTTGGAGCATGAGGTGCTTCGATGATTTCGGCAACTTATTTGGCACCCGGTAGGTGATAGAGAAGTATTCTTCAATGCTGGCTTTGTGGCCGGCCGGTTTGCACTAGAAGGTCATATATCGAACTGTTGATGGTTGTCACTACACCTTTACTTCGCTGTGCTGGGAGATGTTCTCGAACACGAAAAATCAAGTTTCAAGAGCAGCGGCCAATATAAATAGCTCCACAAGCGCAGTTGAATTCGTAGATAATATTTAAAGTGGCAAGTGTGGATACTTCATCTCTCAGTCGAGGTAGCACTAACGGTCCTGTAGAGAATAAGATGCGTAGTTTGCCAGCATTAAAAGTTCTTTGAACTGATTTTCTTAATTTCCTCGTAATTATTTCACTTGGTATATCGCCCTTGAATTGCAGTCATATATAAAGAGGGTTTTTGTTTACGGATAGTGAGTAGTCCTTTTCCGCTTTCTTTGTCATGTGTTTCTTGATAAGCTTGTCGGGATAGCTATTTTTGATCAAAATATCACATACAATGTATCTAGAAGGGCAGCGAAAGCTTTGGAATTAAATCAATCAGCTTAAAGAAACAAAATCACCCACCTACCCTGCAAATCTTTTCTATGATTTCAAGACCTTTAAGCCGTTCAATAGTATATTTTTTGTGTATTTGGATAAAAAAATTTTTTTTGTTTTAACTCTTGTAAAAGAAGAGTTTTCAAATTTTTCCTTTTAATAACATGAACAAATAAAAAAAAATAAAATTTGGGGAAACTGAATAAGGAAGAATTTAGTAATTAAATTGGGTTAAATGCATACAAACTGATATGTATCCATATATATATATGGTGGTCTCTCTTTCTGTTGCTCTCTTAGTCTGTGACCATTTCACTTTGATGAACCTGTCTCCTTTAACAATGTATATTCCCCTTATATTATATATAATATGTGTGTTTGTTGACATGTCTGCTATATTTCGTATATATGGATCGATACTCCATTATAATTAGCCAATCATGTTAAGGCTGTCTATTGATTTGTTCACTCACTTGTTCGGACATTCATATATATTTTTGCCCTCACACTCTTGTGTGATATTCATTCTCCTTGTGTTTGGAATATAGAAGTATCATCGCAACCCTAGTGGTCTTCTGATTTCCGTTTTTGCTTTGCGTCAGGACTATTAAATTCTCGACCAGTACATAACAATAATTTGGCGACGAGTACATAATACAAACAAACACCAACAAATATCAGGAAGAAATAAGGTGGTAGTGACTGTATTACTTTGTAGGAGGTCAGATGAAGTGAACAGTGTTTTGACGGAATATATCTTAGTGCTGTCACGATTAATCGATCACCATTGAGGTAACTAACTACACATTGGTTAGTTTTAACTGGTGCTAACACTCATGATACTTTTTCTCAACCAACATGTTAAGTTGGTTTTATTATTATTGTTCCCTTGGGTTCCGAGTGGAGCATAGGACTACAACAAAACATCTCCTTATTCAGGTGTTGGTTTATAGGGATTTCATTGGTTACAGGATTTCATCATGACCTAACATTGGTTAGAGAACCACTGGAAAACCTGGGAGTACTGCCAGACAGCTGTTTCGTCCTAGTTTGGGACGCACTAGCTCATTATCGACTTGCCCTATTCGGGTAGGTAGTTACCTGAGGTTCTAGTGAGAAGTCGTGACCAGTAGGGTGCAGAAGGTCGAGTGTGAGGACTAATACTCACCGAAGACATTGGCTAGTGGTCGCTCTATGTCATGAATTGGCAGAAGTTAGAATTCATGGACTGGCCATTGGATTGGCGGGTCCCAGTGGTCTTAATTGTCTACGAGCTCGTTAGCCTTGTAACCAGAAGATCCTTGATTTTGAACGCTGGCGGTGATTGCGTACTGCTGAAGAGTCCCAAACTATGACGAAACGGTTGTCCACCACTCGCTGGCAGGTTTTCCAATGATTCTCTAACCAATGTCAACTAATTAAGAACATTCCCTTGTTTGTCCTATCCTCCATGTTCCTATTTAGTCGGCCTCACGATTTCCCGTAGTCTCTCATCTCCTCCTCGCATAACCTTCTCGATGTCACCCTCGAACGCCTCACTTGTCGTTTCCCATCTGGATTCCACTTGAGTGATGGCTTGCATTACGCGTGATGTCACTCAATGGTCTCCTCAGTGTGTCCTCAATCCATTTCCATTTTGCTTTTGCATACTTTTTAAGCTGTAGGGTCTTGATTCCAGGAGTTTCTTGTTGGTAATTCTTTCTAGCCGTCAATCTGATTTTCAGTATGAAGCCAGCTAGATGGACAGCTGTTGATAAAGGTCTGCAACCTGCTTTACACTGTTTAATTTGCACACTTAACACGCATATCATATATCAGTCACTAATCTGTTTTTTTTTTCGTTTTCTTATTTGATTCGTTCTCTTAAACAGATAATCATTATTATTATTATTATGTCACATCCACGTGCTTCACAAATGCTTATTTCAAATCAAAGCTTAACGACAATGGATACAAACACAAATGTTACAAATTCACCTCTTGCTTCAGTGAATCCAACAGCTGTCCCATGTGGTCAGTGTATTATAACTACAAATGCACAGAATCCCTTAATTGGACAACAGAATCTATCAAGTGGTGGTGCGCATAAGCCTCAATTGGGTCAGAATATTGTAGCAAATGTAGCAAAACCATCAGTACAAGCAGTTGTACACGCTACCGGGGTATCAGCTGTTATGGAAACTTATGTCCATGGAAATCGTGGATTAGTTACCCAATATCCGATTGGATCAAATACACTACATGAAATACAAACATTACCAAGAGTTATTGAACAACACCAACACCAACAGCAACAACAACAATCATCGTCATCACAGACTGGAATTAATTATCGACCAGTATTGATTGCTAATACACCAGGAAGTATAAATCAGTTGAAAAATCATTCAATCAATAATCATACTATTGGTAGTAATAGTTTACCAGGGAATCAAACTTATCAAATGATTGCCTACCCACGTCAAGCGTTAAATATTTTACAACAAACCCATGGAAAACCTTCGCATACAATATCATCTGGCAGCACTGGGAATCATGTAATTAATAATAATAATATTAGTAATAATAATAATAATAGTAATTTAATGTTAGCTGGTGTTATTACACCTGAATGCTTACAAGTTGATTCAAGTAATAATAATGCAGCACGTATAGCACAATTGTTAGCTCCGGCTGGTACACATCCTACAGCGATTACAGCTGGTGCGCATGTTGGCAGTAATGCTCAATTTCTTGTTTATTATCCTCAACATATGAATACTGGTAGTGGTAAGTGAATAACTTATTGATAATATTGATTTTTATTTTATCAAATAGTATGCAATATTAATGATATAGAGTGATGATAATTACAAGTGATTATTATTATTATTGTTCCCTTGGGTTCCTAGTGCAACATAGGGCTTTAACTGCACGTCTCCACTTGCTTCTGTCTTCTCCTGTACTTTTCACCTGCATTCATGTTAGTCCATGCTGTTTTAACTCCTCCTCACACGATCTCCTCCGTGTCACCCTTGGACGTCCCATTCGCCACTTCCCTTTGAGCAATGGCCTGACGCACAGTGTCACCCAGTGGCCCCTTCAGCCAGCGTCCAATCCATCTCCACTTTCTCCGGCATATTTGTTGGCTGGCGATTGGTTCCTATTTTGTTTGTTCCCAGCCATAGTTTCTTGTTGGTGATTGTTTCCGGCCCGGCCATCTGATCTTCGGTATAGATCCAGCGAAGACAGTTGTTGGTTGATAAAGGTTTGCAACAGGCTGTTGGTGGAAATATTCTTTGTGACCCGCCCATCAAGTTTCTTATCCGTATGGAAGAAATGACTTGACGTGTTTGTTTTGAAAATCCGAATCTTGTTGTTGTTGCTAGGTGATGAAGATATCCAGATTGGTTTCAGGTTGATGAATGTGTTTCTCGCCTTCCCATTCTCGCTCGATTTGACATCCTTGTTCGTTCCTCCTGTATTTGAGACAATGCTCCGTAGATCAGTGAGTGAATGAAGCCACCTCTTTCAAATCCCTGGCTCTGGATGTTGCTGTTGTTGATGTTGTTGGTTGGTTATTTTCATCACCGTCTTGTCTATGTTCACCTGGAGTCCTGTCTTCTCTGGTTGCTTCTTCGACCAGTTTGTCGGTTTTCGCTTGCTTGTAAGTCTTCGATTTTATGTGACTGTTATGTACTAGTTTTCCCCGTCGCCAAATTGTTATGTACTCGTCGCTGAATTATTGTTATGGACTGGTCGAGAAATTAATAGTCCTGACGCGAGAAGGCGGAAATCAGAAGACCACTAGGTTTGCGATGATACTTCTATTGTCCAAACACAAGGAGACGGAAATAAATGGTCTCACACCAAAGTGGTAAGTAAGTGAAGTAGTTGTAAAGTAAAGTAGTTCACACAAATTGTGAATGCGAATATATATAAATAATTCAGACAAGCGTGGGAAAAATCATTAGACAGTCTTAACATGAATGGCTAATTATAATGGAGTGTCGATCCAATTATACATAGCGAATATAGCAGACATGCCAACAAACATATATGGATATATGTCACCAAGCAACGGACTGTCAACAAACACTCATATTATATATAATATAATATAAGGAGAATACACATTATTAAAGGTGACAAGTTCATACAAGTGAAGTGGTCACAGACTAACCGAGCAAACAGAAAGAGAGACCAACATGCACACACACACATAAATATATATGTGGATACATATCAGTGACATCAAACATAAATCATCCACGCGCAAAATGAAGGTTTTCTAGGTTCTTCACGTCGGTTCAGGATATCCCTGTCTTCTCGTTTCTCACTGTGTGACGCATAATCCAGTCCACCACAATTAGGAATATCATTGGTCATAATAAGCATCCTAATTCCATGTGATAGGGAATTTTAATTCTCCCTCTTCCAACGTTTTTACAACATAGTAAGTGTTCTCAGTTTTCTGTATCTGCACATGTTAGAATACATTATTTTTAAAGGTATAAGAAGGTTTGTGGCTGAATTGGATGCTTTCGATATTTTTGTTTTCTGTAGGCTAAATGGTCTAAGTGATTAGCTATCATTGTCCTTCTTTAGACAACATTTTTAGCGATGACCTCGTTATAAAGTAAGCTGTCGTCATTCTGCATAAATGAAGTATCCATTTTCCCTAGTAACCAACCATAACTGTGATTACTGTGACCGAAACCTGCTCGTTATTGGTTTGAACTCAGAAAATCGACCTCTGAGTTTCACTTTATGGCTATGCTAAACTTCCCTGAGGTACAACTCCCACGAGGTACAATCACTAAACGCTCTGGAATAAAATTTGCGGTTCTGTTAAACAATAATCATATCAAAAACTCAAAGTCACCTCAACAGTGCTGTTAGGCAGTTATATATACAATTCAGTCTAAGTACAAAACGAGCATGAGATCAAAAATTCTGCCCACAAGAATCCAACACTAACGCTTCTCTTAAACAACCCAAGGTTAGAATGAACTTGATTCACTCAAACATAACAAATTATCAGTGTACACACATTTTCAAAGAGAAGCCTTGCAAATGAAGATTAAAACATGACAAATATAAAATAGTAAGGATGAAATCAACATGGACCTTGAAAATGTCAAAATGATGATTAGCAGTCTGGAGAAGTTTAAATTGTGCAAATAATTATAGGTATTGTGATTAGATCGTTGAATGGGGAAGGATTCTCGAAACAATTATTTCATTACAGTGATTAGTCACCTCGGAAGGAATGTTTTTTTTGTCGTTGAAACGATATATGGTCGTGTGACTTAAGCTTTATTGATTGACATATCTAATCTATGTCAACAAGTGGAATAACTCATCGAAGAAGACATTGCGAAGTGGTCGCGCTATGTCGTGACATTGGTAGAAGTTAGAATTCAAGGACCATTGGATCGGGTCCCAGTGGCTCAAAGGTCTACGAGCTCGCCTTGTAACCAGAAGGTCCTGGGTTCGAATCCCGGTGGGTGCGTACTGATGAAGAGTCCCAAACTAGGACGAAACAGCTGTCCAGTACTCCAAGGTTTTCCAGTGGTTCTCTAACTGATGTCAGCTCATGATTAAATCCTCCATGCAATCAAACAAAATCCCTACAAAACCAATACTTGAGAATAACTATAAGTCGATTTGAATAACAGGACCCAAGAGATTTACATTACCCTGGCTAAACTGATGTCAGTAGTTGTGACTGTGAACTGAAATCAATAACCCTCTTCATTATCATCTAACTGCCAGTTTGAGATCATGGATGTGAAGATGAAAAAAATACTTACTTTTTTCAATATAGTGGGTTCTTAGTATTGGTACTTAGTATTCTCTTCTCTTGCGGTTGGATCTTCAAGGTCTACACACTATTCTGTAAGGAAACTGTTCAAATTTCACAGTGATGCTTATTCCATGTGGTTTCAATATTCTAGAAACGAATTTTTGGAATGTACAGCAGGAGAATCTCGCTTCCTCTGTCGTTTCAGAGGATGATTTTGTGTGTGTTGATTGTTTGGATAGACGGTCAGTGAATACGTGCTGATAATAATAATAATATAAAGATTTGATTAAAAGCCCAAACTGAAACTAAATTTCAATAACCACAACGCAAGTTTTTTTTATCTGTGAAGCCAACGTCCAACTCATCGTTTCCTATTTGGGGGTTCACCTGAGCGATTGCCTAGCATAGGACGTCATTCAAACTTCGCCTAATCGTGTGTCTGATCCAGCAGATTTTTTGAGCAAAAGGTTCTTGATTAGTTCATTCCTTGATTTTTCTTGTTGGTAATTCTTTCCAGTCAACCATTTGGTCTTCAACAGCGAGTAATTAGGGTTTATTCAAGATTTTATAGATGTGCATATAGGCATGAACAATAGTGTATTTTTAATTCGATCTCACGAGGCTTAACTGTGATGTACATAACTTTACAAATAAATATTATTCAATATAAACCAATCAGTAATCAATAGAATGATAAGATTATGCACGTCAATCGTCCATTTAGTCATAATAATAATAGTTCTAATAATAAAGATGGAAATATGCCACGATTCGTAAAAAACAGTATGATTAAACAAACAAACAAACGAACATTCCAGTTGATATAATCGATAAAGGCTAAGAAAAACAAATAGTCCGATTAAGTAAATTTAGCCTATAAGCGAAGTAAGTAAAACTATGCTTTAATGGAAATGGTATTAGATTAAGTAGTGAATGATGAAGAAGGGATTAAAACATGTGCAGATATTAGGGGGGGTGGGTGGTTGTGGTGGTGGTTACGGAATTCAAACGAAGAATAACCTAGTATGCAATTAGTGGATGGTGGCAAGCAGTGGAATCCAGGATGCGCATTTCGTCCTATTTGGGACTCGTCAGTTGGATGTACCTGCATTTCTCAGTGAGTGATGATGTTCCCACCGAGGCTCGAACCCGAAGAATAACCTAGACAGTTTTGTCACACCTATTTACATTTACTAGTTCAACTGCTTCTGTGGAAACACTTATATCGGGTGTCCCACTAGACAGCTTAGCCAACACACCACTGACATATCTCCATTAGAGTTTTGTTTATTCAAAAGACAGATAAAAACTATGCGAAACTCATTTTTGTCACACTTATTTGATAGTGGTCAATCACATTGGAAAAGACGAAGGTAATCAAGGTGATTCATCACATACTACCGAATCTTTAGGAGGGACTCTGTATTAGCCCAATGTATATGGCTCAGGTGATTGTGATTGGCACAGTCAATAGTTCTGCATTGCCTCACTTTGATACAATGAACTATGTTAAGTGTGCGGATGATCTAACTGTTTCAATGCCTGCTAGCTTTCAGTTAGACTGTACTAAGATGAACAGCTTTCTATCAGGAGTCATCAAACAGTCTTCGTCTAATGGCCTTAAACAAAGTCTTTCCAAATTTCAGACTGTTAATTTCAGTTTCCGATACAAAAGAAAGTTAAATAATGAAGCTGTTAATTCCTACGACAGTTGTAAAATTGATGATAGTCATATAGAAATCAGTCCCACGTTAGGTATCTTGGATTAATTCTTTCTTCTGATCTATCCTGGTCTTCCCATGTCTTAGTGAATTTTAAATACATATTCCCTCTGACTTTTTTACAGAAAGGAGTTAAGACACTCAGGCATAACTCAACTCATCCTCCTCCTATTACAATTTGTCAACTCATGCATCTTACCTATTTTATTTACTGTTCACCATTATTCCTTCCTCTGCATTACTTTAAGAAGACTATGTCA